AGGGGCTGGGAATGTTAAGTGCCCCTGGGTTTAATCCTGCTTTCACAGAAAACATGTTCTTGTGGCAAAGGAAAAAACCTGGGTGGAGAAGAACATTTGAGTTTCCCCAGTGACAGCAGCTTAGGAAAAACCTAATCCTTCCTTCTGAGGAGTTTGTAGCTATAGAATTTCCCTTCACAATAGCTGTGGTGACATCAGCTCCAGAGTATGGCTCAGCCAGACTGGGAACACACCCATGGGTCTCTGTCACTCCCCCTTACTGCCCCAGCAGACATCACCGMAGTCCAAGCTCCTGGTTTGCCCCAGCTACCATTTGCTTCTCTGCTGCCTCAAGTGGTCAGACTCCTCTGTTTTGCTCTGACCATCTTGGCTGTGTGCTGAATTAGACTCAAAAAGACTGATAATATCTATGAAAGAAGAGCATGGAGATATCCTTGAGGAGAGTAAATTAGCTAAAAATACTTTAGCTCCTTCACACTTTCTCACCAATTTTATTTAAAATAAAAGTAGTTGAGGGCTGGGGATATAGCTCAGTTGGTAGAGTGCTTGCCTCCAATGCACAAAACCCTGGGTTCGATCCCGAGCACCACAAAAAAAGTAGTTTAAGTAGGGTGAGGTTGAGCTAGCTTGTTGTACTCATTTTACTCTTCCATGACCTTTCTTTTCAACCTCTATTTAATAGCCTTTTATTAAAGAGCACTTTATTATTTTTAAGAATATGCTTCTAAGTTATTTATAAAGTGAATTTTAATAGGTAGCATTTACAGTAAATATAATAGTAATACATAGGATAGCATAGGGCTGAGTCTTGAGTTTTTTTAAAAGCATATTTTGAATTTATATATTCCCAATAGTTGTTTGATTGTGGTCAGAACCCTATCTATTCCTGTGTTGAAATTGGTTGTGGAGAGCACTTTGTTTTCTTGAAATGAAAGATTTATCGAGTAAAAATATGTGGGTCTTGCCAGGCGAGGTGGTGCACACCTGTAATCCCAGAAGCTCAGGAAGTTGAAGCAGTAGGATTGTGAGTTCAAAGCCAGCCTCAGCAAATTAGCAAGGGCCTAAGCAACTCAGTGAGACCCTGCCTCTATTAAATAAAATGTAAAAAAGGGCTGGGGATGTTAAGTGCCCCTGGGTTTAATCCAAGGAAGAAAGGAAGGAGTCTTAGAAATCTATAATAATTATTATTCTAAAAGGGAGCTAATAGTGTAACTCAGTACCTCTCATTATTATCTTCTCCCCAAAACTCTCTGAGGATACTGTAATTATTCTGATTTTGCCAATTAGAAAACAGATGCAAAGAGGTAAAGTGACTTTGCGCAAGGCCAATTAGGAAGCCAGAGCCAGGTTTGAAAACTACTGTTTCATGTATTGTTAACCTCATAACACGTGGAGTAACTTTTGTTAACATTTTGGACCATATCACTTGGTATATTGTATAAAAATCAGGCTGTGTGAAATTGTATGCCATCTCCTTTCTCTAGGTTAACGTTTCAAAAAAAAAATCTTTTTACATTACTTAAAAACACTTGGGAACCAGTGTTAGTGGCTGTGTAGTATTTTATCAGATGGATGTGCATGTTCCATSGTCACCTAACCATGTTTCCACCATTTATTATAGTGAGTCTGATTCTTGCTATTATGAAGAATGCTACTGTAACTTTATATATAAACTGTTATCTGTACTTTTTTGTATGTTCTTAAGACTAGATTGCTACAAAAAAAAACAGAGGCTGAGATTTTGAACATTTGAAATGTTCAATATATTGCCAAATTACTTTTCTGAGAAATTAAATCATAAGCAACACTGAAAATATTTCTTCTCTTTCTTTAATGTTGACCTTTGTTATTTCTTAAACTTCTTTACTAGCTGTTTTATTTTAATAACCAGGAAAATGACATCTGGCTTTTATAACTTCTTTGCTTCTTAGAGAAACAATCATTTTAATATGCATATTGACCATTTTTTAAACCACTATTTAGTCCAACAGAAGGGTACATAAAGAAGAAACTACATAATTCCAGTAGGAAGGATTTGGGGGTGGGGGCTTCCATATTATGCCAGCAGGTTGAAATTTTTGTTGCTGTTGTTTTTACCTTCCCTGAAAGAGTTTATCCTGCTTGAGTGTAACAGTCTTGGATAAGGCCTGTCTCGTCTTGGTGCTGATATCTTCTGACAGGGAAAACATGGATCTAGAACGGAGTGCTTGAAAAACTGTGCATGAGACTGGGAAGGTTTAATTGTAACTGGGCCTCATTCCCCAAATGGCATATATAGGATGGTATTTTATTTGTTCTTTACTTTAATGAGGAATCAAGCATGTATTCTGTGAAAATTCAGCATTTCCTTGCTCTCTTGTTGTATTACACAAGGTACAGTGGATTTTTTAAATTTTATTTATTTATTTGATATTGAGAATTGAAGCCAGGGGCACTTTACCACTAAGCCACCTCCCCAGCCCTTTTTATTTATTTTGAGACAGGGTCTTACTGAGTTGGTTAAGGGCCTCACTAAGTTGCTAAGGCTAGTCTTGAACTTGGGATCCTCCTGCCTCAGCCTCCTGAGTCACTGGGATTCCAGGTGTGTACCATTGCACCTGGCAGTGCGATCCTGTCACCCAGTTAGCTGGCACCATCTTCTTGACTGGCGCTTTAGTTCTCTAGGCTTATGTTCTAATATGGAAAATGTCAATTTAAAGTGCAGATTAGTTCTGAGTTTGTTGAATATTTTACAGTACAGCTGCTGTGCCTGAATTATAATCCTTTATATTATAAGGTCTAGTCTAGTTTTATTAGAAATAGCTGTCCCCACCCCGGCCTGCTCAGTCTCAAAGCACTGAATTCAATACCACACTTTGAAAAGAATTGGATGTCCTAAAGCATTGGTTATATAATTGTGGATAGGCTTTCACCCATCCAGCCTTACTTCCTCCTGTGATAGTGAAATACAGGCTGGCAACAGTAATTTGATCTCAGAAAAGCTCACAAAGCGCCGCACACTGGAGAAACTTGCAGCCTCCCTGTACTGGCTGAAATTTCAAAGTACCACTTCCTTGCATCTTTGGAGTATAGTAACCTGAGACAGGTAGTGCTTTTCTTTCTGTGCATTAATTTTAATTAAGCAAAGACACCTGCTTTCTCTTCAGCTTTGAAATCTACATGTAGTTAAACTGATCACTGGAGGTTTTTTTTCCTAACCTGGGTCATTGGAATTGCTCGGAATAAATGTGTTGCAAGCAGAACAACAGGCAGAAAATCTATCATTTCACAAGCTACTAAGAAATCCAATAATTATAGATTTTGTGAAATAAATGAGTGACATAAAAGAAGTTAGAAAGATCAGGAAGATTTCCTAGAATATGATTGGGCCAAACCTTGCAGGTGTGATTCTGAGAGTACATGTAATTCAAGACTCAGCACCTCTGATACAATAGGTGTATTGCACTTTACAGTCCACAAAGGATTTTCTTAACTTTCAGAACAGTCCCACCGAGACAGGTAGTGAGAGGTTTGACACTTTGCATAGCATCATTTGTTCTGTCAGATAGCCATAAAGTAGTGAGAATATGAATTGTTGTTTTCTTTCTGTATCACTTCTGATTCCATCTTAAAGAAGAGCCCAGCAAAGCCCAGGAGAATAGTCAGTAAATCAGCAGATGTCACCTCAAGGTATTTATGATTACTCCAGGATGTCTGCAGTTAGCATTAGAGTCTAAAATTAGGGCTTGCTACAGTTAACTATATTCAGTAATCACTTTGGAAAGAAAGAAATTAGTGGGAAAAAATTTATTATAACTTCATGAGATATCAGAAAGGAGAAGAAAAAAGGAATGAAGGAATCATAGCAGAACTAAAACAGAGACATATAATGTCAGGTAACAATGTAATTATTATATATTGCTTGTTAATACATAATAGTTATCACTTTCAGAAGGGAGTATATGTAAAGAGGTAACAAAAGTGGTAGAGTGCTTGCCTAGCAAGGGTGAAGCACTGGGTTCAATTCTCAGCACCACATAATGAAGGTCCATTGACAACTAAAAATATATATTTTTTAAAAAAAGAATTTTATACGAAGTATTTTATGAGGTATTATAAGAATAATTATGGCAAATCTAAAAGAAAAAGAAACACAAGATTAGCGGTGAGCTACAATAGTGCCCAACATTTTGTACATATTTTGAACTTTTATTCCTCTTTTTAGGTTTCTGACCACAGGTTTATAATATTCTTTTTTCTCAAACTGGAATTACAAAGACTGATAGAGGAGGCCTGTTAAATCCATTGTGAAGTGTGACTATTAAATGTATCTAGTCCCAAACCAAGTCAATACTTTAATAAGTTATCAGCCACAAAGGTGGCACAAAAGAAGTAGCCCATTATTACAGGGATTTCAAACCAGGCTTCATATTCTCTCACCATTATATTTATTTATTGGCAAATGATAACCTTTTTAGAGTTGAGCTATTTGTTTACAAAAGGTTCATTACTTATATGAGTTCTATCATTTCCAAGTTCATGTTGCCCATTAGAAAATGGGACACCTGATCAAACTCCTCTGGAGAGGGAATTGAAAGTTGGTCATAAAGTTGAGTTGTGTTGATCTAACAGAGAATTGTACAAAGTAATCTATTGCATTTGACTCTTCAGTAACAGGTCTGTAAAGGCCATTAGTTGAACATTGCCAGACATTGTTCTTGATGTAAGAATGGAATGGTTAAGAAGACAAAAGAGGTTGCAGCCCTCCTCAACCTTACACTGTAATAACAGAGACAGACAATAAACAAGCCAAAATAAACAAAGAAGGCAATTGCCTATACCAGGGGGTCTTGAAGGACTAATTCTTCCACCTGCTTTATACAAAGTGAATTTTTATACTTTAATAAATGCATAAAAAGGACTGAACTGTTGAAATCCACTGTGCTTCTGTTAGATATTTACTAATAAATTTTGAAACCAGCAAATCTCTTAGAACTTATAAATAAAAATTTCTCTTTTAGGTTGCAGAGAACACATCTTAGAAGATACAAAACCAGAATCTATAAGTGACACTACTGACTTGGCCCTACCACCTGAAATGCCAATTTTGATTGATTTCCATGCTCTGAAAGACATCCTTGGGCCCCCGATGTATGAAATGGAGGTGACCATTTTCATTTCTTAGTTGGTACTCACCAATTTACTGTGGTTGTTGTTAATAGGTCAAGGAGAAAATAAATTGGGTGTTTCCAGAGGCAGAGTTTTGTCTTAGAATYATAACATGTTTTCTGTTTGGTATCAGGTTTCAGTACTTGATGTGAATATGTGACCCTGGCCAGATTTTAGAAACCCACCCTCATATTTCTGTTATCCAGCTCCATTATATGAATAGTGTCTTAAATTTCTTTGACTTTCCTCCCTACAAGAATTATATTCCCAGTGTATGCACTTTACATAAGGATTTCTTGTGCTATGAAGGGATTGGGAGAGGAGATAGGAAATCAATCTCATGCAAAATATCTGAAAACATAAGTACAGCTTTAGCTTCAAGCTGCTGCCTGTGCAAACCAGATGGAACCAATTGTTTCATTGTTAATAATCTCGTAGGTTAGGCTCACCTGCAGTCCCAGCAACTCAGGAGACTGTGGAAGGAAGATCATAAGTTTGAGGCCATCCTTAGGTTAAACCTGAGCACAGGTGTGACACTATTTCCATCTTTCTCCCCTAACTTTACCTGATGGAAGAAGGCCTGATCTTCAGAACTTAATTGAAGCAGTTGATGAAAAGAGGTTTTAGAAAATGATAAGTTTGATAAGTTTGATCATGGAATATTTTTGGAAAACAAGTTGAATAGTACTGCCATCGGGCTCAGAAGATTGTTGGAATGTTTTTGTTGTAATTGTTCATTCTCTCATTTATCATATAGGACACAGTAACAGATTTATTTTATTGTTTGTTAACACTTTTATTTTGCAAATAAAAATTCTGTCATCAGTAAAAAATAAAGTATACATTTTTTAAAAAGAGAGAAAATGACCATTGAGGGCATTATTAAATACTTTATAGGGCACTTAGATGAGCTTTTGTAAGTCAATAACTAGAAAAAGTTTGTATTATACTATTGAATTCAGCTTTATTATTCCTTCTTTTGTCAGTTTAAGAGGAAGATTTACGGAAAATGAATCTTATATATGCATAAGAAAAATCTCTTTATCTAATGTTTGAAATCATTCCAGTGGCTCTAGTTTTCCCTAAGTTCTTAAAACTGAGGAGAGGAGAAATTGTCTCAAACCCATCTTGTTTAGCTATTTAAACACTGAACTGGTCATTAGAGCTAATGAGCCTTTCTACAAAACTCTGTTACAAAAATAGAACTCGTTTACTCTTGACAGTAAATCCAGACTTGAACTATAGAATCAGAGGAATTATTTGGGTGCTTTGAATCCTTAAGATGTCATGGATTTGAATTTTGAAAGAAAAAAAACCTTCCTTCTTGGCCTGAGAGAATCAGTGATTTTGAGTGATGACCAAATGGGTTCTGATTCCTACAGGTCTGGTTGACTTTTTTCCTCTAGGCTTTCCAGAAAAAGTATATCCCAGCAGTTCTTTAAGAATTTAGAGCTATAAATAAAAACAAAAAAATTGATACATGTTTGTGTTGCATAAACCCTTTTCTCCCAGCCATTTCTGCTGATGTTAGTTTTGGAAGCATTGCTGACATTCCCAGAGTTTTGGCAAAGAAAGAGCCAAGAGAACAGAAATGAGATATTTTATAAATATTGCTTAGTAACTCTCTTTGATGTCATTGGAAAAAACGATTTTATTTTCCTTGTAGCATCTGAGCTATTACACATGAATTCTTCTAACCAATATGAATCAAAAGGAAGACTCTTAATAGTCATTTTGCCTTTTATAAATGGAATTTTAGAATCAAACATCTGGTGACTGAGAGTTTGGAACATTTTGTTCGTTTTTTTCGCCCTGTAATCTGGGGTTTCTGTCTCTACCTACAGTTATCTGATGACAATTAGCCCCAAGTTATTTAACCATACTCTGCCTAAGCTTTTGTTTGTTTGCACTACTGGGAATTGAACCCAGGGCCTTGTGCATGCCAGGCAAGCACTCTACCACTGAGCTATAACCCCAGGCCCTGCTTCAGTTTTTAAATCTGTAAAATTAAGATTTATGGAACATTTCTTTATTATTCATGAGGGCCACCACTAAGACTAGAAATCTTCCCTTTTATACACAGAAAAATAATCTCAAAGACATTAAGTGAATTACGTAAATTTACAGAAGGCATGATCAGTAGAATCAGCATTCAAAATCAGATGTGGAGACTCCAAGTTCAATATTTTTCCTACTCTTCTTTGATACCCTGTCAGACAAAGGTAACTCCTGCCCTTGCCTGCTAAAAGACAGTGGCAATGATGTATGGCAGTTTAAAAAAAAAAAAAAGGCATCTGCTCTACATCAGTTTTTTATTTGCAGTATATTCGTAGCACACAGTTTTGGAAGGGGAGAGGCTGGGCTCCACCTCTTGGCCATTCCTATTGGTGTATCTGTTGTGTATCAGGCCTGGTGAAAGGCCCTCTACAAAGAATCTTCATTTATGGTGTCTTTCCAATAATAAATAAAGCAACAAGGCTTAGAGCATTTAAATAACTTGCCAGAAAACACAATTTATACCAGAATTGAGAGGCTTCCAGGCCTGCCTAGCTCCAAAATTTGGCTGTTGGTTATATTAGAGAAACAGCACAGACACACAGAACAGGTCCTCTGCTCTTTGCAAAGAATTCCCAATGGCCAGGCTTGTCTCTCTTCTTCGTGCTTTTCTAGATAAAAAATCTGAAGAGAGAGATTATACTGGAATACTGGAATACATGTTAAAATATTTCTAAGATATTGTAAGGTATCTTTCTAGTTTGAATGCCTGTGTTCTCCATGAAAGGCAAAAATTTAAGGTCTGTTGTTTCTTCTAGAAAGAGTTTCATTCATTCTTTAAATACATATTAAGAACCTAATTTGTACGGTGGTGAATAGGCAGGATATGTTCTCTACCTTTCTATAAGTTTAGGAGGAAAATAAATAAATAATTACAAATTGAGATTGATGCTATAAAGAAAACAAACAGGGTATACTGAGATAGGGAGTAACTGCACTGGACATCTCCAAGATACATCGTTAGAGGTAGACTTGACAATGGTAAAGGTAGACTTGCTGAAGGAATATATGAGGAATGAAGGAAAATTTTCAAAAAGAACTTACATGGGTCTGGCTAGAAGGATGGGGTATTTGTGATAGTGCCATTTTCCTGGATGGGGAAGATGGGGGCAAGTGGTGTGTGTTGCAAAGCAAACAGCTCTGTTGAACATGTTAAATCTGAAATATCTATGAAGTATCTGTGGGCATTTAAACATGCAGATCTACTATTTGGAGRAAGATATAAATTATAGAGTTGTCCAAAAAACTGAGGATATTTAAAGCCCCAGAAATATTGAGATTACCTAAGGAAAAAGTGTACATAGAATAGAGCAGGTAGCCTAGGAACATGCCCTGCTGAACACCATTATTTAGGAATTATTTAGAAGAGCCATCACAAAAGACATAAAAAGAAAGGACAGAACATGCAATCACAAAAGAGGACAATAGGATGTTGTGCTGCCATGAAAACAAAAGAGAATATTTCAAGAAGGGAAGTCAAGTGATATTTACTTGTTTTTTGAGAGATAAAAGAAGCCGGATGGTGCATGCCTGTAATCCCAGCAGCTCTGGAGGCTGAGGCAGGAGGATTGCAAGTTCAAAGCCAGTCTCAGCAACTTAGTGAGGCCCCAAGCAACTCAGTGAGACTCTGTTTCTAAAATATAAAAAAGGATGTTGCTCAGTGGTTAAGCACCCTGGGTTCAATCCCTGGTTCCAAAACAAACCCAGAAAAGGTGATCAGAAAAATGTATGTTGAAGTTGACAGTATGGAGGTTGGAGGTTTTTTGAAAGAGTGATTTCACAATGAATGAGGGGGTTGATAGATTTTTAGAGTGTGCTGTAGAAAGAATGGGAGGGAAGGAAATAGAATTAGTACGTAGGCAGATTTTGAGAAATTCAGCTGTGAATGATTACAGTGAAATTAGGTGGCTAAAAGGGAATTGGGAGCTCAAAGGGGGGACGTTTAGCATATTTGCTGATAAGAATAATCCAACAGACAGACAGGACTGATGCTTTGATGATATGAGACGATGGGACCCAAAGCACAAGTGGAAGATGTGACTTGCCATAGGAGAAGGGATACCCTTTGCAGGGTATTATAAAGAAAGTGGCAAGTTATATACAAGGAAAAGACTGTAGTGATAGAGGGGGAAAGTCTGCTGGCTGCACAAGGACAGCAGTGAAGCTTGGAGAGCTGKTGTGCAGGCAGAAAGTGGCCGAGGCCATGGCGAGAGTATAGGCCAGCCAGAAGGATGAGAGTGTGATGGGCAGGCAGGAGGGGGACTTAAAATGCAGGTTCAGAGGTAATATGTTTTCTGTTAGTGACAAGGACCTAGAAAAGAACAGATGGGTTCAGGTGATGTTAAAAAAAGAACTGAGAAGGGCTGGGGATGTGGCTCAAGTGGTAGCGCGCTCGCCTGGCATGCGTGCGGCCCGGGTTCGATCCTCAGCACCCCATACCAACAAAGATGTTGTGTCCGCCGAGAACTAAAAAATAAATATTAAAAAAAAAAGAACCGAGAAGCCAGATATTGTGTGTGTACCAAAATACCAGGATGACAGCAGGAGTTAGGATGTAAGGAAAGGAAGAGTGTCTTTGAGTGTAGAAGGTAGTGGGGAGAGAAGGAAGAGGGAAAGCCAGCTGGTGTAAACAGGTTTTAATAGGAAGGAGGAAGAATATGGTCTGAAAGAGGTAAGGGGGCTGCTTACTTAATGATAAACCCAACCTCCTCAAATCTGAYGTCTCTGATTCGTGGGGTCATTGTACATGTGTTATTAGAGAGCTAGTAGGATTTGGTGAGTTAAGGGCTATAAAACACCCACTATAGTACCAAGTAAAAAAAATGAACCAACTAGTTCCTACAACTATCATGCTCCCTAAAAAATAAATAAATAAAAGATAAAACAACTTTTTATACTCCTAATTTTGTGTCCACATTTAATAACCTTTAATAATCCATTATTGTTTTTACTTTCATTGAAGATGTGACTATAAAAATATATTAGTACCAAAAATGTTACTGACCTAGCAAATTGGCAGTGAAGAAAGGTGAGAAGGCACACTTTATTAATGAGTTACATCCCTTTAGAATTCTCTAAATGAGTTGAAAAATAGGTTCTAGGAACTTAGTCTAGATTTCAAATTTAGGAACTGTATCATAGGTCACCTTTTCAAATACCATAACATTTCCTATAGAAAGAAGATGAGTTAAACCCACTTTTAAAAATAACCATAAAGTAAAAGTCTCCCTGTGCTGCAGCAGAAAGAACAGGGAAGAGAAGGCATGAGCACAAGTGTCCTGAAGCAGCCTAGACTAGGTCCAAGCCACCCCAGCTCTCCCAGTGCAGGCCTAGCTCAAAGCACACCCCAGATCCTAGGAGGGGCCTTCTGGTTTCGGGCCATGTGCCTATTCCCTCACTGTGCCCTTGTACTTTCTCAAATGGGAGACAAGAGCCTGTGTTTCTGCCTCATGGAGATTACATGAAAAGAGTAGATCACCAAAGAAAATCAGGCTGCTTTTAGGAGGGGGCACCCCCAAAGTGATGAAGGACCGCGAGTACAACTGGTTAGGGACAGGATTCATGTCATTTGATTGTCCCTGTCTCCTTTTATGTTTTTAGATAGTCCCCCCACCTTGTATGAAACTTCATACAAGGTGGTGTATGAAGTATCTGCTGCTGACCATAGTGTATGAAAACCCTTATCTAAAGGTTATTACCCTTAACAGGCAATAAAAGGAAGAGGATAGACATGCAGATTTTAAAACCATCCTGAATAGGGCGCATCCAAAGGTGAGTTCCAGGAATTCCATCATCATGCTCATCTTTTAAGCAAACAAAATCAGCTGCTAGAAATGGTCAAAGAAATGAATGGGCACTAACTAAATGCCCCCAAAGAATCATGAGAGTAAATGACTTCTCCATCCTACTCTAGCTAAACATGCTGCAGTTGCCTTGTTAAAGACTGCACTGTGGGGCTGGGGTTGTGGCTCAGTGGCAGAGCACCTGTCTCGCACATGTGAGGCACTGGGTTCGATTCTCAGCACCACATGAAAATAAAAAAATTAAAACGACTGCACTGATGCTACAGACCCAGTCTGGCCCAGCACCCCATAAAGCAGCAGCTGTGCCAAGAAAAGGCCCTAAAGTACCTTTTGGGGGGATGGGGTTCTAGGGACTGAACCCAGGTGTAATCTACACTGAGGTACATCCTCAGCCCCTTTTATTTTTTTTTTATTTTGAGATGGGGTCTTGCTAAGACTTCCATGCTGGCTTTGCATTTGCAGTCCTCCTGACCCAGCCTCCTAAGATTACAGGCACGTGCAACTGGACTAGTGAAAGGATCTTAAAGTAGCTGTTAGCAATGTTAAGAGTCAGGGCAGACTGGGGCTATACAATTCAGCTTTAAGAAATGACTGTGGCAGGGCTAGGGTGTAGCTCAGTGGTAGAGTGCTTGCCTAGCATACATGAGACCCTGGGTTCAGTTCCTTGCACTGGAAAAATAAAATAAAATCCTTAATGCTACGAAAACAAATCCACAACTAGAAAAATCAATATTCATAAATCCAAGGCTCAATATTCATAAATCAATATTCATAAATCCACAAGGTCTCAATACGAAGACTCCAAAAAGATTATCAGGTAGGTAGCTACTATTGCTACAGCCCTGGAAGGAACATAAAAAAAAATGTTGTTTCAATCAAATATCACTATTTTTAGCCAATCAAAAGGAAAGGGAAGTATAAAATTGATACACAAATTCTCCTTAAACACTGATGTCATACTAAGAATGCAACCTTATAAGACCCATCCTATTATTAATTAGGTTTTCTTTAAATATTTTAAATGCCTCCCTGGTCTTCATATTTACTTATTGCTAGTAGTGGTAGAATATTGAGAAACAGAAATACTGAGATACTAAGGTTCCATGGTATCTATGGAAAAAGCATCCTAAACTTCAAGCCCCAGTCTGTCTTGGTTAATATAACTCATGACTCCACAAACCAGTAATGGGAATACAAGCTGATAGGAAAGGACTGGTACATGAACACTGTTTTATAATGACTGTGTTGAGCCCCCCTGTAGGGAATGCTAGAGAGCACAACTCGTTTCCTGTAGAGGGGTAAAATGGCCTGCACTCACAAGAATATGTGTCTGTACGCCATCATTTCTGAGGGAGAAACATGTGGAACCTGGCACTGGTTTCATTGTGAGAGCACCTGCCCTCAAAAATATGACTTCAAGTCTAAGAATTAAATGTTCTTCCCTCTTTAAGTAACTCCTGTTGGCCTTGATCACAGTTTCCAGGTTTGGTAGAACCCGTTGATATTAAGTTCCACAGATTTGTCATTAGTCTCATCTATCAGAACACTCACTACCAAGTCACAATAGTGATAGTGAGCCTGCATACTTTTGGTTTAGCCATAGGCACTTATCTACACCACCCTTTTCCAGTTAAAAGCCTCTCAATCACTTCTGCCCAAAGAAACCAAGACGCTCCAGCAGATGATGAGTGTGGGAAAACGGGCTTGGTTTCTTTTTTTTTCAAGCTTAGAACTACTTTTTTGGGGGGAGGGGGGTGCCAGTGTTATAAAATGTAGCTTTTAATAAAAACCTTGACCCAAATGCCATTAACTTCAGAAAAAATTTGGTGGAGAGAAGAAAGTTATTTCATTAAGGAAAAATAACCATTATCTTTTTTCCTAATCTTCAACACACACAATTTAAACATATACAGTTGCTTTAACACTCTACACAATTCCTATGTACTGGAGCAATAACAAGATCTAAATACAATTATATTCTTAAACACTGGGTCAAGGCTTTACATAAAAATACCATCCTACTCCCCCCACACACACCCCGCTTGGTTTCTTGAATCAACATTATGATCAAGGAGAATCGCACCACTGCTTCTTTGGGGATCCTTTCAGTATTGTTTGACAAATAAGTTGAGGATTCAGCTCTAAGAAAATGATTTTTCTTGTTCATCAAATGACTTTTTGTGATATATTAAACATGATTTAGTATATTGAGAATTTTTCTTCAGGACTGTTTAACCCCACCCTAGAAAGGAGCCAAATTAGATGTCATTCAGGTGTAGAAAATTTATTTTATATTAAGGGGGATAAAAAAAAAACTTAGTGACCACTTTAAATAGTACTGATTTTTTGCATAAAAAATCAGTTGCACATGCCTTTTCTCTCTCCTCTCTCCTCTCCCCTCGACATAAATCTAGAACATTGCAAGTGCCAAAGTCAGAGGGAACTGAGATCTGTAGTCTAGCACCAGTTCAGCTGATGCTCTAACCTATCCTGTGAAGTTAATGCAAATTAATTTTTTTTAAAACCAGGAACTGAACCCAGGGGGTGCCTACCCACTGAGCCACATCCCCAGTCCTTCACCCTTTTTGTTTTTAAATTTTGAAACAGGTTCTTGATCAGTTGCTCAGGCTAGCCTTGAACTTGAATTCTCTGCCTCAGCCTCCCAGCCACTGAGATTATAGGCATGCACCACTGTACCCAGCTAGAGTAAACTTTAAAAAGAAGACTTTCACTGTCCAAGCCCATTGGAAAAGGAATAAGCAGCAGCAATCCATCCTTCTAACTAGAAACCCACACTACAGACATTACTGTTCCTTGGTGAGAAAGTTATTTGTCAGTAGAAAAATCTCCTATTGAATAGTGCTTGGTGGACATACTGTGCTCGGTTCCTCTCCCATGAATGACTTCCATAGGATAAGAAATTCACARGTTCAAGAGATACGGTATAAGTTAATATTGCTGTCTTTAAGCTGTTGCTTTGTGTTTCCTTAACTTCAGTGTGTTAACCTATATAGCCTATCACGTGGGTGAGCAGCACATTCATTTTAAAATGGCAGCCAGGCAGCACAGTGAACTCCAGTCAGTAAGAACGAACTCAAGATATCACTAATGGGTATTTTACAGTATCTCTACAGCAATAAGAGAGAAAGTAAAGGTAAGTGTTAGAGAAATAAAATGTAGGGGTAATATAGACCTTCATACTTGACCCCTGTAGCAAATACTTCCTAAGTATGTGTTAATAAGAGAGTTTCTATTTCCTCAGATTCATCATTACCTACAGTGAAGTTAGGTTCTGGAGTGTGTGTGTGTGTGTGTGTGTGTGTGCATGTGTATACAGCCTAATAAAGAAACTTCAATAGAGAAGACTGCTGGGCTTCTTGAAAATTAGAATACATATAACTAGATCTGATTCTTAAAAAGCAAAGTTATTCACACATATTTTAAGGTCAAATTACTTCTGATAAATGCCAAAGAGGAAGTTTAGGTATTTCTTCTGGCAGAAAGCCAGAAAGTAAGTGGTAAGTATGACTCAGAATCATGCTGGGTAATAAGTATATTGATATATATAACTTAAGTCTTCTATGGTAAAAGCAGACCCCTGCAGGATAGCACGATTTTGTTAGTCTGAAAATAACTTGGCACTTCTTGGCATAACTGATTGTTTTCTTCTTTCTTTCAAGGTATCTGAGCGTTTGAATCAACCAGGAGTGGCAATAGGTTTGGCTTGGACTCCCTTAGGTGGGAAAATCATGTTTGTGGAGGCAAGTCGAATGGACGGTGAAGGTCAGTTAACACTGACTGGCCAACTAGGGGATGTCATGAAGGAGTCTGCCCATCTTGCTATTAGCTGGCTCCGCAGCAATGCAAAGAAATACCATCTGACTAATGGTATGTGGCTTGCAATACTTGGGATACAGCTGTGAAGGAAGAACCACCTTCAAATCATGATCCAGGAGGCATCTCACAATTCTATGACAAAGATTAAGATGAGCTTTAAATTATCACTTCCACCGTTCAGTGAAGTACAGAACTATGTTTCTGAACCCCTATAGGGATCCTAGTACCTATTTTTAGGACTGAACTAGAAATTAATTCAAAAGGTCTGTTTTATTTTGCTTTGTTTTGAAACTTACTTAGAATAGAATAAATCTATTCTTCCAGACCTTCACTCTAATTGTACTATTCATTAATATTTTGAAGGATTCATTTACCCAAAACATTCATTTTTGTCTGATTTTCTTTTTTAGGAGAAAAAGAAAACAGGTTCAATGTTTCTGCATTAAAATCGTTTTTTCCTTTTTAAAGCTTTTGGAAGTTTTGATCTTCTTGACAACACAGACATCCATCTGCACTTCCCAGCTGGAGCTGTCACAAAAGATGGACCATCTGCTGGTGTTACCATAGTAACCTGTCTCGCCTCACTTTTTAGTGGGCGGTTGGTACGTTCAGATGTAGCCATGACTGGAGAAATTACACTAAGAGGTCTTGTTCTTCCAGTAAGTATGGAAAAACTACTTATATGGCTTGAAATTCATTTAAAATTTAAATTAATAGTGATTTATCTTCTTTTTGTAAACACTTTGGTTTAAGCATACATTAAATTTTTATACCTATAATTAATCATTTTAAACTTTTGATTAAGAAAACATCTTATAATTTTCCTCATGTTCTCCCATCTAAAAGACTTGTTAAATGTGGTCATCAGAAATATCACCAGTTCACATGAAGATTTACTCTCTTAGTTAACTGTTGTTAAATCTGTTGTGCATGTATGATATAGGATAGTTGTTTTTAAGCTTTAAACCCAGTTCTTACCTTTTGAAGTTCCTTTAAGATTGCCCATCCACTTATAGAAATCTTAGATTTAGTTGATAGAATTAAGAAAAACAACTACTATAAAATTGAAACTGACTTAAGAATTAACCATATCTAATTGTTAAATTTTGAAAAAGTTCTATACTTGTTGGGTCTTGGAACTTCCATCCCTATTTTAAACTACTTTAAAAACACTAGTAAAATGCATAGAATTTGAGGAAGTATTTAGGGTTTTAAGTGATTAGTTATCACTATCAGTCTATAACAAACTTTTGGCAGGTTCATAGCAAATTGAGAAGAGAAAGAAATGTTCTTTACTCTGAGAAAACTCCTTTTATGAAGTAATGGTGAAAATAGATCATAGAATTGCCAGGTGTGTTGGCACCTGCCTGTAATCCCAGTAATTATAGAAGCTGAGACAGAAGGGCTGCAAGTTCAAGGCCAGCCATGGCAATTTAGAAGGCCCACAGCAACTTACCCATACCCTGTCTCAAAATAAAAAGTACTGAGGATRTAGCCCAGTGGTAGAGGGCCTCTGGATTCATTCCCCAACAACAAAACCACCAATTAGAAATGCTCTCTGTTGCTCAATTTTTAAAAGTTCAATTAAGTAATATTCTAAACTGTTATGATGGTGTATTTGTATATCTATATTCAATTAAAAAGAATCATTCATCTCTTTTCTTTTCCTTAACCAAGAACTATTATAGTTCATACTATAAAGTGGTAGTTCATATTAGCTGAGCTACTAAAGGAAATGAGAGGGGCTTTATTGACCACAAACTCTTACTTTGGTCTCCTGGTCCATGATGGTAGACTAAGCAAGGAATAAAGGAGAATAAATTATAATACTCAAAAACCAGTGATGTGATAAACTGACAATTCAYGCAACTTCTGGGGAGATAGATGTGTCCTGGTTTATGAATCAGAATTGGAAGTAGAGACACCTCCCAGCAGAAATCCAGATAAAGCCTCATTCAGAGCCAAAAGATGTAGATCAAGTGAACAAGAAAGTCACTGAAATTTCTATAGAACAAATAGGCCTCCTACATGGATGGTTCCCTCCCCTCAAGAGCAAATAACAATGCATGTATGTAAAGGCTTCCCCATGTCTAGCTGAGGAGCCACAGCTTTGAGTAAGCCTTCAGTTTTAAACTATTACAAAGAGACATAAGGAAAGCAGTGACATTTAAAAGACCTGCTAAGGCTGAAGAAAACAATTTAAGAACAGAAGACAAAGCTGTCAGATTTAAAAGTCCAGACTTAGAACTGGCTGAAGAACTACTCTGAAAAAAAATTAGACTGGGCATGGTGGCACACACCTGTAATCCTAGCTACTCAGGTGGCTGAGGTAGGAGGATCTCAAGTTCCAGGTCGGCCTGGACAATTTATTGAAACCCTGTCTCAAAATACAAAAAAGAGCTGGGGATGTACCTCAGTGTCCCTACATTTAATCCCCAGTCTCCTCCTGAACCCCCTCCCCACCCCACCCCCACACACAAAGTGAAAATTATAGTTAAAAACAATCTGAGAGATCCAGCATCTAATAGAAATATTATGGCAAAGAGGAAAGTGGAATTAAACAAATTGTCAAAGAAAAAATGGAACMTTCCCCCAATTGAAGGTATCTTCAGATTGAAGGACCTGTACCAACCAGGAAGATGTCATCCTCTTGGCTTTGCAGATGCACTAAGGATAAAGGTGTCATAAGTGACAGTGGATGTGCAGTACCTTTAAAACTGAGTGAAAATTATTTTAAATTTAGTCTTGTGTCCATGGCCTTACTATGAAGTATGAAAGCAAAATAGACTTTTTCCTTTGTGCAAATGGAATCTGTTTATCTTACATACTTTTTGAAGAAGGTACTTTAGAGTGTACTTCTGGTGGCATGAAAGAAACTTCAGAGGACGGCCAGTGGGGTAGAATCATGAGGGGAAGGTGACAGTGGTGCAGGAAGGCCTGATAGAGCTCCCAGTGCAGTCTCTAGGGATTACCTGTTGTAGGTGGTGTGACCGAGAGCTCTGTTATCTTTTGCTGTATAATACATCACCCCCAAACAATATTTTTTATTCCAAAATTCCCATGGCTCAGGAATTCAGGAGAGGCTTGGTCACTTTTTTCTGGCTCAAGGTCTCTCATCTTACCGTCAATAAGGCTGGATCTGTTTCTAAGGTAGCTCATGCACGTGTCTAGCAAATTAGGTCTGGTGTTGGCAGAAGACCCCAGATCCCCACCTTRCAGGCTTTTCTATAAGCTGTGTGGGTGACCTCAAACATGGTGACTTGCTGCCTAGCTCTGGGGGATGTGATCAGAGATCTATCCAAGTAGAAGTGCTTTTTTTTTTTTTTAAATGACTTAACCTTGAAAGTTATATAGCATCACTCCCACCACACTCTATTCTTGTAAAGGAGTCATAAAACCTGGCCTACATTCAAAGGGAGGGGAATTAAGACTCCATCTTTTGTGAAGGGACTATTGATTGTGGATCTATTGTAAAACTGCCTAAATAGCTTAGAGGTATATTTTCTTCATGAAGTGTGACACAGAGGTACTGGTTTACTAAGCTCTGTAGCAACATTTCTAAATTATTTTTCCTCCTTTGGCAATCACTTTTTTTTTTTTTGTGGTGCTGAGGATTGAACCCAGGGCCTTGTGCATTCGAGGCAAGCACTCTACCAACTGAGTTATATCCCCAGCCCCTTAATTTCACTTTTAACATAAAGATATGAAAATTATACATTTTAATGGGATACCACATAATGTTTGACATGTTACATTGTGTGATATTTAAATCAAGTATATTTATGTCTTCAAACATTTGTCCATTTACTAAGAACAGTATTTATGGTCAAAATAATGCTAAATATAGTTTTTCAGAATAAACCTGAAGATTGGTGTTATTACAAAATGGAGTATGTTAACCTTGGCCATAAAAAAGGAATTGTTGATAAATGAAGTACCCACCCACCCCTATCAAAAATTTAGATTTTCTCTCATTTAAAACAATTCAGTGTAATGGTAACAGAAAGAAAAAGGTCACTTTTTTAAAACCTTCTTAATGGCTTCCTAGCTCATTCTATTAAAATGGAAGATGGTTCAGATGTCTTAATTATACTCAGTGAAAGAAGGTTGGATCAGTTCCTTTCACAGCTTGAGGGTGATCACAAACCTTAAAAAGTGTTTTCTCTCCTTACAGGTGGGTGGAATTAAAGACAAAGTTCTGGCAGCACACAGAGCAGGATTAAAGCAAATCATTATTCCTCAGAGGAATGAGAAGGACCTTGAAGAAATCCCAAGCAATGTACGACAGGACTTAAGTTTTGTCACAGCAAGCTGCCTGGATGAAGTTCTTAATGCAGCTTTTGATGGTGGCTTTACTGTCAAGACCAGACCTGGTCTTGTAAATAGCAAGTTATAGGCCCAAAACTTGTTAGAATTTAATGTTTGAAGTACTGTAAGAGACTGACAAGTTCGATTTTATTCACATCAGTAAGAGTAATCACAAGAATAATGAACCTCATTCAACTAGCGGCTAATGTTTATTATGAAAACATGATCTGTTAATAAACTGATAAAAGTAAAATCCTTGTCTTCAGTGGAATCCCTAGTCCTCAGTGTAGTCCACAGAACCCCAGCATCTGTATTACCTGAGAACTTGTTAGAAATAAAAAATTGTCAGAGCCAGTTCAGACCTGACTCAAACTCTGGGGACATGGGGCCCTCCAGGTAATTCTGTCAGTCAACTTCAGGAACCATTGGTGTAAACCATTACCTCAGCAGACTCACCTGTAGGCTTTATTGGATCCTGGAACCAATCACTTAGAAGGGGAACTTGCAAAGATGAAAAATATAGCCAACTACTATTTGTCCTTGTGGAAAACAAACATCCTGGCCCTGGGTGCCTATAGTCTCAGGAAAATTCAGTCCTCAGAGGGAGGCACAGCTATCCCTCTTGAGGAATAGTTTTTCAGAATAAAGGCTTCAAATTCTGTCTTCTGCAATTCACTTCTGTTAGTTTGCTTGTGCCAATTCCAAAGTCTGTCTACTTCCCATCCCTATCTTCTGGGTTCAGTCCAAGGTAGWGGGTAACTATGAAGGCAGGCTCTAGCTGTGTAAACTTTTTGTTATCTTCCTTTTCCAATCTGTGAAATGTAAGTAGTGGTACCTACTACACTATGACTGTGAAGATTAAATGTAAAATAATATTACGCAATTTTAACTATTATTCCAACCAGTATTGGACTTAAGAATCAAAATATTATATTGCAAAAGAGAGCTGGGAGCAGTGGTGCATGCCTGTAATCCCAGTGGCTCAGAAGGGTGAGGCAGGAGGATGGAGAGTTCAAAGCCAGCCTGAGCAACTTGGCAAGAACCTGTCTCAAAATGTAAAAAGGGCTGAGAATACGGCTTAGTGGTTAAGCTCCCCTGGGTTCAATCCCCAGTACAAAATTATATATATATATTATATATATATTATATATAATATATATATATTATTATATATATTATATATATTATTATATATTATATGATATTATTATATATTATTATATATTATATATTATATAATTATTATATATAATATATAATTATTATATATTATATATAATATATTATATATATTATTATATATTATTATATATATATTATATATATTATATATTATATATAATATATATATATATATATATAGGAACTTCTGGGTCAGAATGAGGTCTGAAAGTTTCCCAATACTTAGTTAAGGCCTGCTATGACACATTGGGAAACAAAGATCATCAGGATATTCAAAAACACTTCATTGACTATCTTATCAACTACCGTAATTTTATTTCTATGCAGTCATCTCACACAGGGGGATAAAAGAAACATGCCAGGACTGTTAATTTGCCCTCAGCAACCAGAGGGAGCTAATCCACACCCAAATTGCTCAGCCTCACTCCACCCAGGATGGAGTTTTACAACATGTAGCAAAACTCAGGTTCTCTGTATTCTTCCTTAGTCTTGAATATGCAGTTTGAACTTGTGTACAACATCCTGACTCCTCTGTGCCCTCTTTAAACATGTCTTCCCTTTTGAAAAAAGTCTCTGACAAAATTGACAGTCTTCCCCTTGTGAGACTTTTCTCTAGCAATGTTGGTTAGTTGGGAAGAAGGCAATGTTTGTTTGAAATTTGAGTTATTGTTTCTTTGCCTCTTTAATTGGGCAAAATATAAAGTTTGCCATTTCTAAATGTCTAAATATACAATTCAGGCACATCAATGACATTCACAGTATAACTGCTGTCCACGCTATTTTATTTTTTTAATCATAAACTGTACCCATGGAAAACCCTGTTATGCGCTTCTTTTCAGGTGTCTACCCAAAGTGGAATTGCTGGCTCCTATGTGCTGTGACCTGAATGTCCCCCAAAACTTAAGTGCCGAATTTGGTCACAATACTATTAATAAGAGGCATAAACCCATATGCCTTGGTTAAATACAACTTAACCAAGTATTGGTGATTGATGACGTCACAGGGGCTGTCTCATGAATGGAGTTAGTAGAATTTAAAAAAGGCTCAAGGGAACCAGCTAGACTCTTTTTGCCCTTCGGTTCCTTCCCCCATGTGCAGAAGCAGCAACAAGACTCCCTCTCGGCAGCAGAGAACAGGCCCTCAGACCCTGATCCTATTGGAGCCTTAATCTTGGACTTGCCCAGTCCCCAGATCTGAGAGAAATAAATTTGTCTTTTATAAATTACCTAGTCTTCAGTATTTTATTACAGCACCACAAACAAAACATATAATCTGAACTTTTTAACCAAATTTCTTTTCCATCTTGGCTGCTCCATTTGACATGCCCACCAGCAATGCACATAAGTTCCAGTTTTTCTACATCGTTGCCAACACTTTGATAATAGCCTTCCTAATGAGTGTGACAATAGTATTTTGATTCAAATTTCCCTAACAACTTGTGAGCTGAGTGTCTTTTTCTAGCACTTATTTAGAAGACACTCAGAGCTTACTAGTTGTTACTCTAAGACCTCCTTGTATCACAATAACCTAGACTTCATATTGAAAACGTTAACCTTGGGATCTATGTATTTAACCACAGTACTCCAGGTGTTTTTTAATGCATAGGCTTTTAAAATTCTTAAGGTATTAAAACTAAATAAAGGTTTAAGGCCTTGGTTATCAATTTTATATTTCTAATAGAAGTGTATAAGTTTTTACTACCCATTTTTTGGTTCCTGTTTAAACCTTACCATGAAAACCATGCATCAGAGGCTGAGATTCTTAAGCACTTGATAACCTGTAAATTCAGTGAAAAAGACTGCATATTTATCATCTGGAAAATATGTGACCATAGGTAAGATTCCATGATTGTGAATATTAAACACCTGAAATTTTAAATGAGTAGTGGGCATACAATGTTATGTTCTAGAACATGTAACGATTCCCTTTTCTTCTGATAGCAATCAAGACTTGCATTCTGGGATGGGGGTGTAGCTCAATGGTAGAGCACATGCTTATTAAGCATTTGAGAGGCCCTGGATTCACCCCCAACACAAAAATAAAATTTAAAAATTGTATTCTGGCCATACCACAGATTCTCTTCAGAAACAAAGGAGTTTCATTTCCAGTAACACCTCTAATTGACAGGTTTTGGTTGCTTCAGGTAAGAGGATTTTGATTCCCATCTGGACACAGTCATTAGTAGTGGTATCTACCACAAGCTTCCAGTACTAGGTAACACATGCCCCTACCCAAGTCACCCTGTCAGGTAATCAACTTGCCCAGTTAAAAGGACTTATTACTTTCCTTTATTACTGAAATGAGGTAAACCTTACTATTAAGAGTCTTTGATATTAAGTCACAAAAGTTAATTTTCTAAAACCCAAAGTTTAAGTGGGATTATTAGATGTAAACATCATGTAGTCTTGTTTTGCTTTAATGATTATTAGATGTAAACATCATGTAGTCTTGTTTTGCTTTAATGAAAAAAACATGTTCAAGCTCACATTACTTTGGCCAAAATGAAAAGCTGTATTTGAGTCTTGCCCTGTGAAAACTTTAGTATTAAAGGAAAAAAAAAGAAATCAGACTACAGTCACCAATTTGATTCATGATCCAATATTAACACACTCATTATTTTGTTTTGTTTTACTAACATGTAGTGAATCCTACACAAAGAATATATTCTTTATTTTTAAAAAAGCACCAAAACAGGAAGGAAATATTGGAAATATCTGAATAAATAAACAACAGGCAATTGACTGGTCATTGAGAGGTTTTAAAACAGTTGTATCAAAGTAATTTTAATTCTAAGAAAAGCTTTATTCGCAATAAAAATTCACTTATTTGAAACATACTATAGTCTGTACTTAACGAACTAAAGAATAGTTATTCAATCTATTTAGCGTTACTAAAAAATGTTAAATAAATTCAAATCTAATATTATCAGCACATTTCCAGGGAAATGAAATTTTTCAGGCTAAATTCTAGTCTTTACATAATAGTGCAAGCCTGTCAAAACGTGACTTTACAAAATCCAGCATTCTTTCATACCACTGTTTACATTAATTTCTACAAATTTGTTAATGCATCTCAGAATTTAGAAAGGCCTCAGAACATTACAACTAAAATGTAAAGAAATTGCTTAAATCTGTATAAAGATAGGGAAAATGTGTAGCTAAGCAAGACACTGGGCTACAGAGCCAGGCCTAATGATAAGCCCCACCTCATTCACTTACACCAGTAGATACCATTAGATCATTTTACGGAAGAACCTGACAGAGATTAAATAAAAGTCAGTTTAGGCAGTTAGTCTAGAGCCCAATAATGTATGCCACCAGATTTTACTAGGTGCTTGGTAAGTATCAAACAATTTAGTCTGGATGATGCCACACTTAGATAATGTGAAATTCTCTTGGTAAATGATCTATTTTACAGTAAATCACCAGGTAATCCTTGGTACTCTGAACCTCCACAATGTTCAATCTGTAACACTATCTACCTTCCTTGTATAACCCATACAGATAACCACAGTACCAGGTGGTTATTCATACCTTCTACTCATTGCGTTATATTCTGATCTTAACTTTTGTCAGCAGTCACAGACTGACCCCAGGTATAGTGTAGTTTCATTCAGTTTTTATAATTTGGATTACTTACCAATTCTTCCACTCAGGAATCTGAATGAAATATAATTCTATCATTGTAGAGATTCCTGGATATAAAAAGAGCTCTTGTGTGGAGGGGACACATACTACTATTTGAGRGCTAAGCAATCTATAGCCACTTATGAAAATTTAGTTTACAGAAATGTGGGTGTTAAAAAAAAACATAGGTAATACATAATAAAAATCAAAGCAAAGGAAAAAAAGGCTTTCCAATGATCACTAACACACTAAACCGGTCCATGTCTATCCAATAGGACAATTTCTAGTTGAAAAATATAGATCAGGCTGGGGATTGTAGCTCAGTGGTACAGCACTTACCTACCCTAGGTTTGATCCCCAAAATCATGAGGAAAAAAAAAGTATATAAAAGCAAAATAATAGAATATTACCTACATCTACCCCATAAAATGTGAAAGACGACACCCAAAGGAAGGGTAGGGAAATTAATAGAAACCATTCATTATTKTAACAATTCAAGAACAAGAGCTAGACCTAATAAACCAAATTTTCAAATGGACCAAAGCAATGTGGCTTTAGAGCTCATCACTGCAGACCAAAAGTAGAATGATGACTGAAACATAAAATATAAAAATGTCAGCTTTACTAGCTAGTTGTCAAACATACACAAAATTTACCTAAATTTACTTGAATTAGTAAAAACTGAGGGCTTCTTATTTTTTAATACTAGGGATTGAACCCACGAGTGCCTAAACATTGAACCACATCCCCAGTCCTCCTCTTATTTTATACTTTGAGACAGGGTTTTGCCAAGTACTGCAATCCTTCTGCCTCAGTCTCCCGAGTCACTGGGATTACAGGCCTGCACCACCACACCAGGCAAAACCTGAGGTTTTAATGAAACAATGATTATAAAGTACCAAGAGTTTTTTAAAAAATAATAATCCCAGCAACAATATGTACAAAGCATTGATAGGGTAACTTTACTGTGTCTTAATTTAATCCTGTGAGGTAGCTACTAGGATGTAACCCCTTTTTAGACATTAGGAAACTAGGGCCCAAGGTCATACAGCTATAAGTGGAACAGAGCCAAGACACTTAACCAGCAGAGCTATGAAATACCAAAACCTAATTCTTGTTTTTAAGGGGACAAAAGTGATCAGCTAAAAATTTTAGT